AAATATTTTCCAATCCCTCCCCCACCATCGGTTACTTTAGAAAACATAATTAGAATACTATCCATTTTATTTCCATTAATCATGTTAAAATTTGAACCTATGGCAAGAGTTGTCATGGTGATAAGTCCTCAGTGACAGGAGTTGTCATGGTGATGTCCCCAGTGCCTGAGGTTCTCATGGAAATGGAATTTATTGTAAACAAGGACAACACTGGTCTCTGTCTTGTCCTCCATCCGTTTCTAGTTAATACCCTGTCTCCAGGTATTAGACAGGTTAATACTCTGTCTCCTATTAGGTCCTACCTAATAGGACCGAGCTATCCCTGATACATGGTATGTGCATCTGCTTTCCTAAATGAATCTCCGTGTCTCTGACTGACATGAGCTGAAATTCTTTCCCATCGTGTGTGTCAAGGACCCCACTCATCCTGAGTCCAGGCCTCCTCTCCAGGAACAGCATGCTCAATCCTCTTCCAGTGACAGACGCTGGGTCTCCAGCTATTGCAATTCCTTAAAAGAAATAGAAAGAATTCCTTTTATCTGAAGCTGATTATGATTTTGTTTTAGGTTTCCTGACACCAGTAACTACTTAGCACCAATTTTACGTTCATTGCCACGTAGGAAAGACTTGCAAATGTCCATGTTCTCCACTCCTGGCTCTCAAGATGAAGTTCCTGGACCAACAGAATCAGCATCACCTGGAATCGGGACAGAAGGAAAATTCTAGAATCTCTCTGAAGATCTAGTCATTGCCAGATTCTCCAATAGACCTCAAATATGTGTGTTTAACAAGCCCTTTGGGAATTAAGATGCACGCCAGTTGTGGGGCCACAGTGGTGTAACAACCTTCTTCTTTCTGGAGAATACCCACCTCATCATTCTTTGTCTCTTTCCTGTCCCCTGTGGGTGGCTCTGGGAGGCTGGGTGCTGAGGACTTTGTGATAATCCATAAGTTTTGTTGTTGTTTTTCTTTTTGTAATCTCTAACCCTTAGGGGCTCATTACACATCGTTCCTGTCCTTTATTTCTAAAAACATTTGGAGACCTTAAAAGGAGCATCCAGTTCTTACATGAATCTCTGTACCATCAAAGATCCTTCTTCCAGGTGCTGGAGTGAGGAGGGGACCAAGGTGGTGAGTGAGAAAGCCCTGTCCTTGCGTGCACTCCTCCTGGAGACCCATTGGCCCCCTCATTCTAAGCTGGACACTTATGTGATTCTAACCAAAAACAGGCAGAGGAAAGATCAGCATCTCCCTCGATGGTGCTAACTGTTGTCCTCTCTGCAGTTTCCTGGCTGAGGGAGAGACAGGGGCCAGGGTGAGTGGGGGACTCTTCCCTGAGAAGGGTTTTTCCGTGCATGAAGAGGGAGACATGAGGGGTGGGTGGTCTCACAAAGCTCCATCTAGGAGAGGGACATCAATGAGGCTACTCAGAAAGTGTTCCTTCAATGTTTTTTACGAATTAATTTTTAAATTGTGGTAAAATACACATAAAAGTTCTATGGTTACAACCACTTTAAGTTGACACTTTTAAGGCCTGAATCATGCTCTTGATGTTTTGCAAACATCACTAATGTCCATACTCAAGACACATTTTGTCCTACAAACCTCATTCTCTTACCATCCACACTAACTCCTCACTCTCTGTCCCCAGCCCTCACAGCCCCCCTCCTCTCCCCCTCTCTGTGAATGTCAGTGCCTGGTGCCCCATGGAAGTGCAGGCCAGCCTCTGCCTTTCTGTGGCTGCTTATGTCACCAAGCACAATGTCCTCCAGGCTCAGCCTTTTGTGACATATGGGAAATGTCCTTCTGGTGAGGGCAGTGGCTACTCTGCTCTACCCACATGCCGTGTTGGTTGGCTTCACTCCTCTGTACCTGGACGCTTGCTTTTCTCCCACCTGCTGGTCCTGTGAATAGTGCTGCTGATAAATTAGCTCCTCAACGTCTTCACACTGAGATTGGAAGGTGAGCAGAGATAGCTGGACCTGACCAGGGCTGGCCAAATCCAGTCTATGCTCCTTTCTGATGAATGCAGCCTGTCACCGGCTACATATGCATGTCAGTTGCCTTTTAGCCCCCTTTTATCTGTCTTATAAAAGCTTTGTGTGCCCCTAATTCCTAGAAGGTGGAGATTTGAGACAGAAAATAGCTCTCCTCTGTATTCCTCAAAGCTACCTGTAAATAAAAACCATTTTCCTTCCTGTGCCTCACTCCACAGCTCTAGTTCTCCCCCTAGTGGTGAAAGAAGTCCACTACAGTAAATGTGAGGTACACATCTAATACTCTGCTTCCAATTGTATGTGAATAGGCAAACCCAGAGCTGTAATTACAGGATGACAATTAACACTCTTTTAATCATGATTTAGTTTTCAATGGGGTCTTCCTATGGCACTTCGCTGAGCCTGAACTCCTGGACTCTAGAAATATTTTTGCCTTGGCTCCATGAGTAGCTGGGATACATGCCACTGAGACCACATTTATTAATTCTGTTTTTAATTTTCTGAGAAAATCTTTAACATTTTAACAGAAAATGTATGAATACTTTCTCATTGCATTTTTTATTTCTGGAAATATATAAGCATCATTATGTTTAAAGAGCCCTTAGTGAGTGTCAATGAAGCCCGGTGTCAATATATCCAAGGGCAAGGGAAGGTTTTAAACAGAGCTGAAACTTTTCTCTCCTGTGTTACAGCAAGACAACTTCCTCTTCTTGCAACAATTTACCATTGTTAATAAAGTAACAGCAGCAATAATTAGAGCTAATATTTCCAGATTCTACATCACGTCCCTAGCTAGCACTGTGGACTTCTCCTGATTAACATCTGCAGTGCTTAGTCCCTCAGATGACACAGCTGAACTTGGCTCCATTTCGTTTCCCTGTCCTGTGTAGAGGAATGTCCTTCTTCTCTCACTTTGTAACGCATCCTATGGTCTCTGATCCTTTAAATTGGCCTGAGTGTCAGCAATGCCTACTCCAGCTGTCCTCTTCCCCATCCTTCCCCCTCCAGGGTACAGGCAGAGAGAAGAACATGCTTGGCAGTCTCCCTTGTTCTCTCAGGACTCCTGCAGGCCCCTCCGCCACTTCCCCTGGGATTCCTCCACATGCACATTCTCATATAAAATACTTAAATTTTAAAATTATTCTGAAAATCTACACAATTGGTGCATATTGATTACACAGAACGGTAGACTGATTGTGGTCATGCTTACATAAAGACACTATTTGATTAATTTCATTCCTGAATGCTATCCCTCCACATCCCCTTGGCCTCTCCCAATTCCTCTTCCTCTATTCTTCTTGTTTCCCTTCCAATTTTAGGAGTCCCCTTTTTTCCCTCATAGCTTCCACATCATCAGTGAGTGTATATATATATATATTTTTTTATTTATATATATATATATATATATTACTTTATTCTCTGAGTCTCACGTAATTTGCTCAATATCATGCTCTCCAATTATACACCACCTGTTCTTTATCCCAGAATGGTCACCTAGGCTGATTTCCAAATTGGCTATTGTGAATTGTGCAGCAATAAATATGGGCGCTTGTGTATCTCAAAACTCTAATAACTTCGTCCTTTTTGACCAGTACCAAGGTAGGCTATTTATACCTGGATCATATGGTGGATGCATTTTTACCTTTTTTAGGAAAACCTCCTTCCTGATTGCCATAGTGGATGGACTAATTTACATCCCCACCAGCAGTGTATAAAAGTTTCTTTTATTTCCCACATCCTAGCCAGCACTTATTGCTCTTTTTATTCTTTATGCCTGCTTTTTTTTTTTTTGCTATAAAACCTGAACATCACAAATATGAGGAGAAAAAAATAGGGCAAATACTTCCACTTTTAGGTGTTTGAAAAGACTTCCTGAATAACCCCATTGCTCGGGATATAAAGAAGGAATCAATAAACAGGATGACATTAAATCAAAAACGTCTCCTGTATAGCAAGGGATAAAACACAGTGAAGACTGGGAGAACTGTCAGACTGGGAGAAAGTTGTGCCCAGCTTGTACTCTGAAACAGGGCTGTGATCCCAGATGTACTAGAATTCAAAACAAAAACAATTCAAATTTAAAAAAAATAATAATAACCCAATCGGTAAGTGGTCAAACGAATTGAACACCCACTTCTCAAAATGAGAAATGCAAATAGCCAACTGTACAAGAAAAAATGTTCACCGTATTTAGCCACCAGAAAATGCACACCAAAATCACACTGAGATTTGAACTGAAGAAACGAATAAATGAACCAGCTTTTCAAAAAACAGCAACCTACTTTTCTTTTCAAGACCAGATAGTCATTTTCACTAGAGCTGTGATATTTGTAAAAATGATACAATATGGGGATTCATTCTATGCTTTTAGAAATATCCCTCATTCGAGGATCAAATCACAAATCGTCACACACGAAAAACAAACAAAAATCAGTTCAAGGTTCTTAGTGGCTAAAGAAATCCCTTCAAATTAAATAGATCCCAATGAATGTCTTGAGATGAATGAACACTCTGATATCTTTCAAGGAATGGATAGATGATGTCATTTCTCATAAGGGGGCAGGAAAAGACCTGAGATGGTGATTTTCAGCAACACCCAAGACTAGCATTGATGAGCAGAGACAGAGTACGACATTCACAACAGGTTTAAGATGATTTAGGAAAAGATGTCACCAAACCAGTTTTGAAACTGTCTAAATAATTGATGACAATTTAATACTAGATTTCGTGAGAGCATTTAAGCCTGAAATTTCCAATAAATAAAATAGCACATTTTCATTTCAGGGCTGTTTTTACAATTATAAAAAAGAAGTCATTTAATCTTATTAATTGCAATATATAAAGTTACTCTTGAATTAATAGGTGAAGGAAAGAATGAGTAAGAGAACCTGAAGAGAATCATGGTTTATATACTACCCATAACTTTAAGAGATTTCCACCAAGTAGTAACTGGCGTGCTCCATTGGTATCCATGTCTCTACCCTCAGCAGACCTCTCAACCACATGGAGTCAGAAAACCAAACACTTGCAGCAGAATTCCTCCTCCTGGGACTCTCAGAGGACTCAGAGCTGCAGCCCATCCTCTTTGGACTGTTCCTGACGATGTACCTGGTCACTGTTCTTGGGAACCTGCTCATCATCCTGACCATCTCCTCTGACCCCCACCTCCACACCCCCATGTACTTCTTCCTCTCCAGCCTGTCCTTGGCTGACATCGGTAGCACCTCCACCTTAGTCCCCAAGATGCTGGTGAACATCCAGACAGAAAGCAAAGCCATCTCCTATGCAGGCTGCCTCACTCAGCTATGCTTTTTCGTGGTTTTTGTATGCATGGACAATTTACTGCTGGCTGTGATGGCCTATGATCGCTATGTGGCCATCTGCCACCCCTTGTATTACACGGTCATCATGAACCCCCGCCTCTGTGTCCTGCTGGTCCTGATCTGTCTGCTCATCAGCACTGTGGATGCCCTGGTGCACACTCTGATGTTGCTGCGTTTGTCTTTCTGCAAACACCTGGAGATCCCCCACTTCTTCTGTGATCTGACTCAGAT